CTAAAAATTTTTTTAATACATCTCTGGGCTGACTGCCGCTTACGCGGCTATTGGTTGTGGCGAGAGAGCTCGCCGCTCTAGTGTTCTCCCTCTTTCGAATCGCAAATCCGAGCGTAAAAAGATCAAAGCGGCACGCTACACTGTCCGAGCTGTTCTAAAAGCCACCAATTTTTTTTATTTCAAAGTAACACTAAAAAATAAGTGAATTCCATAAACATTAATTTTATTACTTTAGTGATATATTTTGTTTAATTTTAATAATATAAACTTTTAATAAAGTATTATTTTAAACTCAGGGAATTATAAAAAATATTAATTCCCAAATATACAGGGTGGTCCAAACTGTATTCCGGAAACTTTCGCATATTCACTAGATAAAAATAAGTAGAAATGTTCGTATAAATGTATGTCCTAATATGCCTAGTTTCGGAGATACAGGGTGTAGAAATTTCATTTTTATTTCAATTTTTTTCAAATAATTTCTGAAGTAACGTCAATATTTGGATGAAAATTGGTGTCTGGGAGTTTTTTGACATGAGAAATTCGATTTTGATGTCAATATGACTCCTACTTGTAGAGGGTGTCACCTATATATTTCTTAACTGCTTTGAAGGGTAATAACTTTTCGTCCGTACCTGTATAAAACTACTGAGTAAAAAAATATACATTTATGGCGGTTTTTACGTAAAAAGGCTTTCTTGGTAAAATTCGCTACGAGTAATGGTTCTGGAGATATTTGGAATCGAAATTATCAATACCTGTCATCATTGACATAAATTAAACACGTTGACTGACTAGTTATTAGACTGAAACGATAAATTTGAAATATTTTTGTGCCAAAAGTTCAACAGAAACTGTTTTATCATCATCTTTTCGCAGAAAATTTAATGATTAATTTAAAAAAAATAAAAAATTCACAAATTTATGATTTCAGTCAAATAACTATCTATACTCAACGTGTTTATTTTTTTGTCAATAATGACATGTATTGATTATTTCCATTCTAAATATCTTGAGAACCGTTGCTCGTAGCGATTTTTACCAAGAGACATTTTTTACGTAAAAAGTCACGGAAATGTATATTTTTTCACTCAGTAGTTTAATACAGGCACGGATGAAAAGTTATTACTCTTCAGACCAGTTAAAATACATGTAGGTGGCGCCCCCTACGGATAGGAGTGATATTGGCATCAAAATCAAATTTTTCGTGTCAAAAAACTCCCAGACACCAATTTTCATCTAAATATTGACGTTATTTCAGAAATTATTTGAAAAAAATCGAAATAAAGATGAAACTTATACACACTGTATCTCCAAAACCAAGCATTTTAGAACATACATTTATAAGAACTTTTTTACTTATTTTTATCTGCAGAATATACTGCCGAAGTTTCCGGAATACAGTTCGGACCACCCTGTATACGCAAATCAAACACTATAACCAAAGAAATAACATCCACTACATACCCACATATCTATTAAACTGAACATTACTAAACTATCAATTGCCAAATATTATTTGATACATAATTAATCTGCCACAACCACTATTGTCATTATTTAGGAAAAAATACAGGACAGAATCATATATACATATACTTTTCAAAATTTACATTTTTATCACCCATTTTTAGGCGTAAAAACGGGAACCCTATTACTAAGACTTCGCTGTCCGTCCGTCCGTCCGTCTGTCACAAAGGTCTATCTTATGAACCGTTATAGCAAGACAGTTGAAATGTTCACAGATAATGTATATGTTTGTCCCAGTCTCTTTGGTGGTCAGAGACTACTTTGGCCAAATAACGGTTGATGGTTCTGTTCATGCGTTCAACCATCCCATCGGATTGTGGATGCAGAACAGTCGTCCTAACCTTGCGGATGTTAAGGACCTCACAAACGCCTTGGAACAGATTGGACTCAAAGTTTCTTCCCTGATCTGAATGCAGCTCCATGGGAACACCAAACCTGCAGATCCATTCTTTAACAAGGGCATCAGCAATGGTGGACGCTTCTTGATTTGGCAACGCGTAGGCCTCGACCCATTTGCTGAAGTAATCCATTACTACCACAATGTATTTGTTGCCATCGTTCGTCTCCGGGAAAGGACCAGCCACGTCGATCGCTATTCGTTTGAAAGGACTGCCTACATTGTACTGGCGCATTGGAGCTTTACCACGCTTTTGTGGTCCATTGATAGCAGCGCAAACGTCGCATTTCTTACACAAGGCCCTGACGTCTTCTCTGCAGTTCACCCAATAGAACCGTTCACGCAGCTTTCCAAGGGTCTTGCTAACACCAAGATGTCCACCGCTGGTTCCATTGTGAACTTCCGCCAAGACTTCCGGCACCCTCTTCTTTGGAATGACGATCTGCCTTCTCTCTTCTTGTCCCTCTGGTCTCTCAATCACACGGCGAAGTAATCCGTTATCTATTACGAATGAATTCCACTGGGACCAGTACGACTTCCCGTTCGGCGAATATCTGCAAACTTCCTCCCACGTTGGTCTCTGGTCCGCGTTTTTCCAGTTAATCACCAAGCCCAACTCTGGATCACTGATTTGGTCGTTTGCAAGATCTTCGGATTGCCAACTATCACCAACCACAGTCGTCCTTAAGACTTTCACTTCTTTCTCTTCTTTGCAACGATTTCCCATCTGTCCGCAATTCCAACAGCGAATCGGTCCCCCCTTCTTGCTCATATACTGATCCAGTACTTTCCGCACAATCCTTTCCACTTTGGAATCGTCGGAACTCTCCTCAACAGCCCGTACAAATCCTAGAGACCTAGAGCATTCTTTCGCGGCGTCAAATTCCAGGGCACGTGCTAGGGCATCTCCCAAATGCGTTGGATCAGCTAAAAGAAGTGTTTGCCTTGTCTCGTTGTCACGTAAACCATCAATAAAAGCCTGTACTGTTAAGCGCTCCATAACATTTTCGGGCATAGCAGGGTACGCAAGGCGAGCAAGGCGGACTATTTCAGCTTGATATTCTCTTAGAGTCTCATTAGGCTGCTGAACACGATTTTTGAGCTGGGAATGGTAGACATGTTCCAAATGAGCTTGGCCGTACCTCATTTCTAAATGTCGTACCAATTGCTGATAATCTCCCTGTTCCGATGGTGACAGTGTCTGCAGGATGTCAGTCGCATTGCCTCGCAGTGCGACAGTCAAAGCGGTAGCCTTTTCAGCGATTGTCCATCCGTTCGCTCTCGCAGCGGCCTCAAACTGGCAAAAATAATTGGTTCAAGCGGTTTTTCCGTCAAACTGTGGAGGCTTAATAACTGATTTTGAGGCATACCTATTTTCGACTAGTTTCGGTCCCTCCGATGTTTCTTGACATTTTGGTGAATATGCCTTTGCTATTTGTTCTTTCAAAATTTCGATTTTTCTATTTACATCTTCCTCAATCTCTGTTATTTTATTGTTAAAACTTTCTTCCAAAATTATTATTTTATTATTAAAGCTGGCCTGTATATCTTTAGAATTTTTGATGCTCTTATCTTCTAATGTATTGATTAAATCCTGGGAATTTTCCATAATTTCATCACTGATTTTCTCTTCTAAATTAACTTCCAAGTCAATTATTTTACTATTCAAATTGTTCAAGTTGTCGTCTAATTTTTGAGAATTCTCTGTCATTTTATCATTCAAAATCTCTTCCAAGTTAATCATTTTACTATTCAAAGTCGTATTCATTGTCGTCTAATTTGTGTAGGCACGAGTCAAGGTCACCTTCCAACTCAAAGCAAAATGTGTCAGGATCCTCACCTTCCTCCACCAAAACGTCTCTCAGTCTAGCTTGCAAAATGCTTTTCTTTCCATATGTCTCGCACTCTCTCTCTTCCAATTTGCATTTCAGTTCGGACACTTTCAAGTGTTTCAATAATTTTTTCAGAGCCATGGTCAGTCTTTTTATTTTTCTTGTCTATCACACACCCCACACCTGACACCAATTGTTACGTTTTTCGTCGGTTCCGTGTGGATAGAAAGTCACAATTTATTTAAACACAATTTATTTAACACTAATTAACAAAAAACAATAATGATTAAAAGACTTAAAGAACTATTTATAACTTATTTACAATTTATCTAATTATTTATCTAACAGAAATGTATTTTGAATTAGCGCGGCGATTATAACTCTACGCGTCGATCGGTTATTTATCTCTCCTCTCTTAGGCCCCGGCGTCTGCTTATATAGGAGAGAAACAGACAATCCAGATTTGTCTAGTAAATTCTTATTCGTTCTTAGAACGTCGGCATTGCTGGGCGTATGAGTCATAGGCGAGTGGCCAGGTCTAAGGCTGAGTTCACACGGCACGGGTCCGCAACAGTATCTATGTTGCCGCTATAAGAACAAATACTAAAAACAGAATTAAATAAATGTTTATAAATAAAAAAAGTACTTTCACTAAACATTATCTTTTAAGTAAGAATTTTACATTGAATCTTTCAAGTCCTCGGTGGCCGCGTGGTTAAAGCGTTAGGACGCTGCTATGACGTTGGAGCTGTAGTAAGGCAGGTTCGAATCCTAGTCAAGGCGACTTTTTTTAATCGTTTTTTTTTACATATTTTTACATATTTATTTTTACTTTTTACATATTTATTATTGATTAATACAATTTTTAGTAATGTGTTTCTTCAATTTTTTTAAATTACTTATACGCGCATTCAAAACTTCGGCTAAATCGAAAAAAAAGTTTATAACAATATAGTGTCTAATGTTGTATAGATAATGAATAGTACGGAACCCTTCGTGCGCGAGTCCGACTCGCACTTGACCATTTTTTTATAAATTAAATAAAAATTGACTTGCAAAGTATTTAACACAATTTTACGTAAATATGTTAATTCCAGCAGGTATTCGCTAATTCAAATGTAAGATCAAAGTTGAAAGGTACTCAGGTATTAATTAACCCAGGATAAAATCAACACCGGACTTAAACTCACTCCCCTGACTTTCGACCGTTCCAATTCAATGGCGGAATTAATTTATTTCAGATGCGGCTGCGACGAGTGCGTCACATCCAGGCAGGAGGACTCTCTCAGGCACTCCAGGTCCAGGATAAACGCTTACCGGGCGCTGGCTTCGCCCTCCCTAATCGCGCTGTCATCCAAGGATCCGATATTGACAGCTTTCGAACTGTCCTGGGAGCTAAGGAGGTAAGAAATGTGTTTTAGGTTAATTAGATCAATATTTTATTTTCTCAGGATCTGTTATCTATCTATACTAATATAAAATCCTTAAGTGACTGACTCACTGATTAATCACGATCATGATCGCGATCCTGTTCAAACCACTCAACGTAAAAGCTCAATTTTGGCATACCGGTTGATTCTAGGGTGTAGAAGTTCGATAAGAAGGGATTTTTCGAAATTCCAGTTCCAAGGGGGTGTAACAACCCCTTAAATATTACAATATTTGTTATTTAAAAAACGGTCTAGCTTCCGAAAAAACGCTTAAACACTTATATTTTATTTTGTTTTTTACATATTTTAAGATTTTTTAAAAATGTTTACAGGGTATTTCGAAAAATCTGGTCATTGATTAATTACGATCCTGCTTAAAGTGCTGGACGTAAAAAGCTGATTTTTGGAAAACGGATTGACTTTAGGGTGTAGAGGTTCGATAAGAAGGGATTTTTCATAACTCAAATTCTAAGGGGGTGAAACCACCCCTCAAATATTAGAATATTTTTTTATTCAAAAAACCGGTAAGTTTTTCGGAAAAACTCTTAAACACGTATATTTTATTTTGTTGTTTTACATATTTTAAGATTTTTAAAATATTTATACAGGGTGTTTCATAAAATATGGCCATTGAGTAATCACGATTCTGCTTAAACTGCTTGACGTTTAAAGCTGATTTTTTGGCAAACGGATTGACTGTGGGGTGTAGAGGTTCGATAAGGAGAGGTTTCTCGAATTTCAAATTCCAAGAGGGTGAAAACGCCCTTCAAATATTGCAATATTTGTTATTTAAAAAACGGTTAGTTTTTCGGGAAAACGCTTGGACACCCATAATTTATTTTGTTTTTTTACATATTTTAAAATTTTTTAAAAAATCTTACAGGGTGTTCCAAAAAGTTGGGTAATTGATTAACCACGATTATGCTTAGACTGCTTGACGTAAAAACCCTTATTTTTGGCAAACGGATTTTCCGAAAGTCAAATTCTAACGAGATGAAACTACCCCTCAAATATTACCAAGTTATATAATAATATCGCCATATTGTTTTTTCTCATGCTGACATAAATGTGAGAAAATTTTATCCAGTTTGTATGTTAATGGAAATTCTTGCTTTGCTTTATCATCACCATTACAAATTATTAATTCGACGCGAACGAAGTCGCGAGTACACGCTAGTTCTTTATAAAAACCTGATTTTCTATTGTACCGGGTAGCCAACTAAGAAGGACGCCGGCTGTATCTCAGAAACCACTTATCGTATAACTTTGGGAAAAAAATTGTACTAAGTAAATCGGCCAAGAGAAATCGCGGGAAATTATTTTAAAGTTCGAAAAATGTCCGCTAAGGGGCGCATCTGTGAAGGCCAACAGGTGAAGAGGTTTTTCAAATATTGCTATTGTAATCCATGGGAAATTTGTAATTTGTTTGATATAGCGTATTTTGCTCTAACTCGTAAAACAAAATGGTGGGGGAAGGTTAAACTTGCTTTTATTAAGATTAGAGTAACTCTGGTTTGGGTTAGCCGATGTAAACAAACTTAATTATGCCCCACTAGCAAAACCGGTGATTAACACTATGCTCGCTACCGTAGTTGAACTCATCTAAAAAGTGTTTTTTAACTGGTATAATAAAAAATTATAATACAAGTTAGATCTTCTGAAGATATCAAAATATTTACTTCTTTGTTTTGATTTTTTCAATTTCACAAATTATACTTCCTAAAATTTTTCGTATTCTCCCTATTTAAACCCGTGTATTTGTATATATTAGTTCTTTACAATATTCTCCGATGGTGGTAGCACCGGCGGAGAATACACCAATCCTATTGTTCCTATATTTTTTACCGGTAGTCTGCCGCCATAAAGCGAGAAACAGGAAACCGGTGCACTATGGACGTACACTTACCGTGTATACTATAAAACGTCAAAACCAGGAAAACAACGCCGCTTTTTCAAAGTATTTACGCTATTCCATTACGTGTTACTTTAGACTCCTAATTAAACGTTAAATATAATGTTCAGCAAAACCCCTAAAATAAACGCGAATTCCACTTTCTTTCTCTGCGGTTCAGTATACCATTTTCTGCTTTATAAACTTTTACGTTGTCATTATGTGGTTTTACGAGTGTTATTTCGTGCCTTTTCTGGATGTGTGATAAATGCATAGGCTTTAAAAAGCATAGAAAACCGGAACATATAATTTGCTAGCATAGCTGGATTTATTTTAAGAGATTTGTATGAAAAATTAACTATTTTGTGTCCAGAATATGAATTTTTCCATTTCCATTTTTTGTGTCCAGTGTATTTTTACTGTCTCTTTTACATTTTTACTCTCAGTTTTACTATTCTTGATGTTTCTATTCCTACTTTTTTACTGACCAGATGATGAATATTTGATGTCTCTTTTCTACTATTCTTTTTACTATTTTTGCTATTCTATTTTACTCTTATAGCCGTCAAAATTACCCGTCATTCTTATATTTTTATAATTAGAGAGCGAAAACAGCAAAACAGATAACAAAAATAGTATAAGAAGCAATAAATACATGAAAACAGATGGTAATAAAAGTAAATCTGGTAGTTAAAACATAAATCACATGAAATAAAAACATTAAAAGAAATAATAGCCTTATACTCTTTTTGCTGTGGATTTTACTATTTTTCCAGTCAGCTTTACTCTTTTTAATATTTGTTTTCCTGTTTTTTTTGGTTTCTTTAATAGTTTTACTCCCTGTTTTAAAATATTTAACTAGATAACTTTTTTTGTGTTTATTGCATTTTTGTATTGAGTATTTTTTAAATGAGGAAAGTATTTACATATTATAATATATACCTTGTAAGTATTTCAGTTTTTTAATAGAATTATAGATATTTACATGTTAATAGTTAGAATGTTGATTTGTTTTATTTGTTGATTTGTTACATTTTGTATATTTTTGTTTTCTTTGCCACTATTTCAGCCTATATTATGTGACATATTCTTGAAATAAAGAGGTATATTTATCTATCTATCGGTTCTACTGCTTTGGTTCTCTTTATAGAGGTATAAAATTGATGAATAAAGCTGCCAACAAAAACAGTAAAATAGATAACAAAAATAGTAAAAGAAATAATAAATACATGAAAACAGATGCAAAAAGATTAAAATTGGCAGAAAAAACAGTAAAATAGAAATCAAAATCGTTGGACAGAAGAATCAGTAAAAGGCCCGATGTTGTCTGTCTCAAATACCCCAATACCTACGAAAGGGAAACAACATGAAAAATTGACACCGTACAAGAAACAGTGTCTATAGTTTTTGATATCAATAGACGGAATATAGCCACGTACTCTATTTTGCTTTGTTTCTGATAATCAACGGAAATCCCATTTTACGATACTGGACAATAGACACGCCGAACGTAGAATAATAATTGTTTCGATACAAAAAGCAAGGTTGATCGTGCTTTTTTTGCCCTTTCCGCAATTTTTCTTTGCATGTCCCCTCACTTTTTAATTCCTGAGTAATTAAGCAAAAAAGTTTGGATAGCGGATTTGTCAAATCATGTAGAAGTAAGAAATGAACAATGTTTTTTTGCTGCAATTATTTTTCTAGATTCGCTGCTCGTGACTTTTTCGTATTTATTTAGATAGATATGTACCATGGAATAGTATATTACATACCGAGGAGGGAAATTCGAGAAGAATTAGAGAAATTTTAGAGAATTAATCTCGAGACAATAATGAAAACTTTCCTTCAAAATTTGTATACTATTTTATTTACAACCACATCATTAATTAAAAAATAGGGACAGTATTTTATTTTGAAAAAAAAATATGCGAAAATTTGTCGTTTTCTGTTTTGGCATTTCCATATCTATAGTTACCGGTACCAATGGTTGTTATGGCGCAAAAACAAACAACTAAATGACAGTTATGAATATCTCGTTCGCTTTTTGGAATTTATATATCATAGAAAGCCAGAGAACTGAACTCAGAAAAATCACACGAACTTCAAAAAACGAGAACTAACCAATAGATTACACGGAGCAGGATCATCGGACATGGAACTTGGCACTAAACGGACATTGAAAGGCAACTTAAATTGAAAAGGTCTAACATTTGGTACGTGGAACATTCGGTCGATAAATGACAAAGAGGGCGAACTAATTAAAGAATTTGAAAACATTGACCTAGAAATTCTAGCTATAACTGAAACTAAAAAGAAAGGACAACAAACAGTTGATTTACAGAATGGACATATAATGATTTTGAGTGGGGTTCAGAATGATAAAAGGGCACAGGCCGCAATGGTTGTATTATAAAAAGTACCTTAGCTAAACTTGTAACTAAATGGGATACTATATCAGAAAGAATCATGATGGTGCAATTAAGGCTTAAAGACAAGAACACGATACACATTTTGATACTATATGGCCCAAATGAAGATGAAAAAGCTGAAGTAAACGACAAGTTTTGGGATGAAGTTACGGAAGTTGTTGACAGTTTAAATGGAGATATTATTGTTCTGGGGGATCTAAATGGAAGAGTTGGCATTCAGGATCATGAAAGCGGCGATGTCATAGGAAAAAATGGAGAGGCTATAAGAAACAACAACGGGACTAGAATTATAGAGTTCTGCATACAAAACGATTTATTAATGATGAACACCTTCTTCAGACACAAAGAAATCCATCAGTACACGAGAGAAGTTAAAAGTCGAAATGAAAAATCAATAATTGACTACGTATTAGTATGTAAACGATTAAGGCGATATATCAAAGACGTACGAGTTAAAAGAGGCCCCGAAATAAACAGCGATCACTACCTGGTCTTAGCAAAAACCAAACTAGGCTTTCAAAAACCAGATCAAATAGAGAGACCACGGTGCAGCGTAACAAGAGAAGTAGTCAGGTCGTATAGACTAAACAACAGGAATACTGCCATAAGTTACAGGAAAAGAATACAAGAGCTAATTGAAACTCAACCAGTCA